TTTCAATTGTTTTGGATTTGGCCCAGAAGTAGGATTGCTGGATCATTCGCAATTTTTTGAGGAACTGCCACACTGAGTCCCATCATGGCTGTAACTGATTTACATTCCCACCAATAGCATGCAAGCGTTTTGCTTTCTCCACCTCCTTGACAGTATTATTTATTTATTTTGGTAATAACCATCCTGACAAGTATAAGGTAACATCTCCTTGTGGTTTCAATTTACATTTCCCTGATGATTAGTGATACTGGGCATCGTTTACTGCTGGACATTTGAATGTAATTTCCTTTGGAGAAATGTCTGTTCAAATCCTTTCCCCATTTTTTAAGTCAGGTTGTCCTTTTGCTACTGGGTTAAATTGTCCTTTTTTGAAACTCTCCTTAATTACCTGTGTCTTGCTATGACCCTTACATACGGGCAGGAGGGGTCACTAGCTCTGAAGGCAGAGTGTGACTGAGGGTTTAAAGTGTTCCGCCAGGCCAGGGGTGGTGGCTCATGCCTGTAATCTTAGAACTTTGAGAGGCAGAGGTGGAAGGATCACTTGAGCACAGGAATCTGAGACCAGTCTGAGCAACACAGTGAGACTCCCATTGCTACAGAACATAAGAAAAGGCTGGGCACAGTGACTCGTGCCTGTAATCTCAGCAATTTAGGAGACTGAGGTGGGCGGATCACTTGAGCCCAAGAGTTTGAGACCAGCCTGGGAAATATAGTAAGACCCCATCTCTACTAAAAAAAAAAAAAAATTAACTGGACATGGTGGCATGCGCCTGTAGTCTCAGCTATTGCAGAGGCTGAGGTGGGAGAATCACCTGGGCCAGGAGTTTCAGGCTGTAGTAAGCTCTGATTATGCCACTGCATTCCAGCCTGGGTGACATAGTGAGACCAGTCTCTTTTAACTAACTAACTAACTAATTAACTAACTAACTAACTAAGTCCTGCACAGGAGCCACAGGAAGGAGTGGGGGTCTCCCTACCAGCCAGTCCTCCCCCACCTGAGGCTTCTGGAGGGAGAACGGAGACCCTAGGCTAGAATGCAGGAGTTTGGTGCAGAGGGGTTTGTCCTTCCTCCCCGGTCAGGCCATGGACTTCTCCATTGCCTTCCAGGTAGCCCCTCTCTACCGGGTGCTGCAGAAAAACCTGTTTGTATTAGGAAGCCCACATTCTGGGCGTACGTATTTGGTGCCCAGATGGTTCCTGTATATACAAGAGCCCAGCACACTGACAGGACCTACAGACACACGGATAAATATTTTGCTTTTCTTTTTAGGCAATATTTGAATCTTTCAAATTTAATTGCTGTCAGAGGCAGGATGCTTGCAATCCCAGAGGCAAAGCAAATAGCGAGGGCCTCCAGCGGGGCTGTTATGGCTGCTCCAGGCAGGCTCCCCGGCCAGTCACCTGCAGTGCCTGTGGGTTGGCTTCTTGCTCTTGCTGAATGTCAAGGGCTCTTCCCTCTCTGGCTGGGTGGGCTACAGTTGGAGGAGGTTAAGGGAGCTGGCTCCAGCCTGCCTGGAACCAGTGGCAACTTGTTGAGTTTGTGTTGAGGCTGAGAGAATCTGACCTGAGCTAAGAAATCAGGTATTTTTCTCACATGAGAGTGGGTCACCAATCTGGCCATCCCCAGTGGGACCTGCTTTTGTGTTCCAAGCCTGGGTCTTGGAGCTGTTTTGTTGAATCTTGAAATTATTGCAGGTACGGCTGCTGCTAGCTCAGAAGGCACCATTGTGCAAATGAGACAAAGGCGGCCCTTTTGGCAGGGTGAGCCTCCAACACCCCCGACTGGGGTGCAAGACTTGGCCAGCAGAGCAGCAGCTGGGTTTCAGTGTCCACATATCCCTGGGAAGTGCCCTTATCCAGGACACAAGCTGCCCGGCTGCACGTGTCCAAGGCATGATGGTATTCTTGTTACAACGTTCTACCTTTATATCTTCCTTTCCTCTTTCTTTTATTCCTTTTCCCCTGCAAATCATTGACCTGGTTGCCCCTGGGGTTACATTTACCAAGTACATTGAGACAGTGTTCTGTGACTATATACAGATTTCTTCTACCTCACTGTGATTAATAAGTCTCTCCTTGTATTGTCCAGGCAGGGAGGAGGCATTTGCTATAGATGCACAGAGTTCTGCAACAATTGCCTCCTTTAATTCATTAGATTCTAATTTGCCTCAATTATTTTAATTCCTTGCATGTAATAAAAGCAGTTGGATTCTTTGCCCACTGCAGTCTTACAAAGAACACCTCATATTACTGATGCCTTTTCTCAAAGCACATGTTATTGGTGCTTACCTTGTGCTAGGGGCTGGGAAGATAAAGATGAATGAATAAGACAACATCCCTGCCCTTGAGAAACTCATAATCTAGTGAGGGAGTGAGGCGTGTAAACAGATAAATCACAGTGCAGGAGCGTGTTTGCTGCAGGAAGGACGGAAGCACAGGGGAGCGGGGAGGAGAGCAGGGAAGCTGCTGGTGGAACACCTGCTGCTGGGATGCCATTCTAGATGCCAGGAAGGCTCTGCCGAGGAGCTGCATTTGAGCCATCTCTTAGGATGAGTAGGTGTTGACTCGTCCTAAGGAAAAGCAAGGCAGGGAGGAGAATAGATGCCAAGTCAGGAGTGAATATGGCATCTTCGGGGTAAGGTGGGGAGGTTCCCCTGGCTGGAACCTGGGGCGTGTGAAGGCTGGGGCCTGAGTGGAGCTGGGACTTGATGTCTGAGGAGTGTGGGTTTTATCTTGTGTAGAAGGAGGCCAACAGAGGGCCTGTGAACAGAGCGTGACATTATCATACTTTCCTTTCCTTTATGGAATACACTCCACGTGGGAGGGTGGCCTGGTAGAAGAGACTCTCTGGTCCTGGGTTCTGATCTTGGCACTGCTACTTCCTTGGGTGAGTCATTTAATCTTCTCATGCCTCCACTTTTTCATTAAAAAATAGGGATGAGGATGGTAATGCCTACTTAATTTGATTGTAGAATGGACTAAATGATTAAATGAGTTGGTATCCATTTCCTACTGGTGGACCAAGTCCAGAACCCATAAATAGGTTCCAGGTGTGTTGGAAACCCTGGTCCCTTCAGCACCCTAGGAGCCTGGACAGAGCCATGGGCAGCCTCATCTGTTCACTACAGGTGTCTTGTAAACATCTTCTGTGCGTACGCCATAGCATGAGTAAAGCTGGAAACCAGTGGTCTCCAGAGCCTTGCCAAGTCCCTCCTATCTCATAAATCCTTTAGCAATGTGGTTACTGGTTGAGACAGTCATTGTATCAGGACAACTACTACAGGAGGAGAGGGGGCCGAGAGTAGGGGCTGGACTCCTGGGACATTTCTCAAGTAGAACTGGCAGAATTTGGCAACCAGCTAGATGTCAGGAAGGAGGGGCCGCCTTGAGGAGGAGGCAGCATTCACAATGACTGCAGGATTTATGATGTAGACTGGATGGGAGGTGATTCTATTAATGGAAATTGTTATGGAAATTAGAGCATGTGGGGTTGGAGGTGTGAATGTGAATGGAGGAAGTGGAGACTGTCTGGTAGACTCCTTTTTCAACAAGTTTTGCAAGTTAAGGAAGGAGGATGACAGGATGAAGGTATGAGGAGGAGGTGTGCTTAGGGGGAATGCTGGGGGCATGTGAGAGGCTTCAGGATGTTTGTAGGCTAAAGGAAAAGAGGCAGAAAAGTTGAAAAATTGAAGACACAGGAAGAGCACATACCACTCTCTAGAACGTGCCTCTTGGACATCGTCAGTCTCATTGGAGGAGCGCCCGCCAATAACCGGCAACTGGGCAGTTGTCCAGATATGATTTATAATAAGGCATCGGTTTCATGAGGCACTGTCTAATTGCACTTCACCAATTGCCAGGTTCCCTGCTGACAGTGGGCCAGGGGGTCAAACAATTCAATCATGTGCCACCACTTATAAATTGAAAATCAGTGGGGTGCAAAATGGATTACCATCAAAATTCATTCAGGCACAAAACCAAATTTAAAAACCCCTCACCTTTAAAAATCACCCCTTTCCTGATTCTTCACAATGCACTGACACTGAGTCTTTATATCTCCCAGATGAGCAAGTGTCAATAGAAATAGCTGCGAGAGACCAAAACTCATGGAGGAAGAGCTCCCCATGGTGCCTTCCTTTTGGAATGGGCAAACAGGGTGGATTTATGCATTAACACATTGGCAATTCTGTTAGCTTCTCCAAGCCAGTGGTTCTCAAACTTTAGTTTGTAATCAAATCCCTGGAGGGATTATTTAAATTCAGATTGCCAGGCTCTACTTCCTAGTTTGACTCAGTAGGTCTGGGGTTGAGAACCTGAGAAGTTGCATTTGCTGCAAGTTCTTAGGGAATGCTGATGTTGCCGGCCTTGGGACCACGCTTTCAGAATCTCTGCCAAAAACTTTTTGACAATTGACTAGTAAAGCATGCTTTGATTGGTGTTGAGTCTGTTAAGAAATCTAAGTTTTGCTCAAGAAATCTGAAGAGACTAGTTCAAAGAGACACAGATTTATCTGAGTGCTTTGTGTTCAGAGGTGAGGTTGAGAGGATAAGGTTGGGAGGTCGGAGGCCCCCTCACAATCCCTCAGCTCACCATTCCAGAAAATTGTGTGTGCTCAAAGCACAAATGATATCATTAAGGCTTAACAAAGCCTATTCTCTGCTGGTCCCTGGTTGGAAACGATGTGTTTTGATGCCAAGCTTTCTTTCTTGACTTGAAAGTTGATTTTTTGGGTAATGTTAGACAAGCTGCTGTCAGCCTAAACACTGGTTCTTCCTACCTCTGCATGATCCCACAGATGTATTTTTCCATCTAAATCGATGCTATTTGATTGTAGTTCTACTCTATTGCTCTTTTTGAGTTGAAGGTATTGCCTTTCTGTAGTTGTCACCAGGCCCAATATCAAACAATCTTCTTCCCCAGGATGGGAAAATTAATTCCAGAACTACTCCAGATGTGGTTGCTGCTTCCTTAACATTTCATTTCCTGTCTCTCTCTTCCAGGAGAAATTGAGCGATGCACGTACATCAAATACCACTACTCCTCAGCAACCATCCCCAGGAACCTCACTTTCAACATCACGAAGACCATCCGTCAGGACGAGTGGCATGCCCTACGTAAGTGCACCTGAGTCTCGGTGACTGCGATTGTCCTCTTTAGAGGAATTGGAGGGTTGGATTATGCCTCCTTCTGGGATCTGTGGATGGTCTCAGAACATTGAGATGGTTCTGTAAAGTGCCAATATCTTTGGGTCAGAATTGCCTCAGTTGGTTTTGATTGTATTATAAATTTGGGGAGTTTGTTTCTAAAATCAAAGAAAGAGCCAACCATTGAAACTTCAGAAACAATTAGCCATTAGACAGTTATCTTATTTCACTACCCTGGTAGGTACATAAGATTTCATCTACCTGACTTAACCAACTCTTGGGACTTATTAATAATTCCAGCCTGTCTCCAAGTTGCTTGGAATATTATTGTGGTAACCTGTTAGTCCCTTGGGTTGCATTTGTAAAGGTTGAGACCAGCTGGTGGTTGCAGGATGCATCACAATGGAGATTTGCATCTGGATGGATCACTAAGAAGTAGGATCTGGTCTTAAAAGCTACTGTTTATCCTCAAGTGATAGGTTTTGGAATCCTGGTTCATGTGCAATTCCTTGGCAAAGGTCAGAATATCTGCATGCATTCGTTAGGGCATTTCTTGGCCAGGGATCCTCAGAGACTTAAATGACAATGAGAGGGTGACTTAATGAGCAAACAGTTTGTTGGCTATTTTTACTCTTCTGCTCCATTGGGATACACTGCCTGTCTGTGGCGGGAGAGCTCTCCTTCCTGCGGGCACAGTTCTTCAAGCTGACACATTCTTACTGTCAGCAAGTTCATGCTGCCTCTGTTGATTTGTCATGCATTCATAGTCCATCTTTTTTCACCAGATTTTGAAAGGTTTAGATTCTGTTGACATTTATATGTGAAGGAAGGTTCTTTTATTGTTTCCTAATAGTAAGGATCTCTTAATTGGTAAACTTTGAAGATGGTAGATCTCTAGGTGGGAAACATCTCTTTTCTCCTTATTGGTGCCTAGTTATCTTTTGAGTGGATTAGGCCCAGAAGGTGTATTCTACTTTTGGGATTGGCTTTAATTAAGGCACCACCACTGGGGGTGGGAAGGGGAGGTGAAAGAGACAAGTAATATCAAACAGAAAAATCATTCATTGGTTTCAAGAAATATACTGTGGCTGTGTGTCCAGATGATTGCCACTAAATACTCCTGGCCTGAAATGATAGAGCAGGTGCCAAGGGATGAGACAGCATTCACCAGACTGTTTCCCCTACAAGCTTTATCCATTATTAGAGACTCTAAGCAGCACATGGGGACAGATAGCTAATGTTCAAAGAGGGTTCCCATGTGCTGGCCTTGAGCTAAGCATGCCACATATTTAATTTCTGTGTTATATTTGTCTTGGAGACACTAGGCATCAGGGTTATCAATTTCCTTTTGAAGATACACATTTAAGGATTAAAATGTAGAACTATACAATGACTCCTTATTTCCCACAATGTATTGGTCTAATATAGTTTCTTCTTAGGAGGCTAGAAGGGATGTTCAAGATTGATAAGTCCTGTTGATTAACCACTGAAATCTAACTTAAGTTACAGGGGTCATAATAGGATTCAGAATAAGAAGGAAGAAGTTATTGACATAGCAGCTTTAATTCAAATTAACTCAATTTAACCAAAGTTACCCTGTTTCTTTTTGTGTCAGTGGATACAGAGGCCACAGAGGGCTCTTTAAGGAGCTCAAGTTTGGGGGTGGAGGAGGGTAGGGGATGGGAAGAGACATTCATAATTCAAGTAATTCCAAGGCAATGTGATAATTACAATATAGCAGAATTGCTTTAAGCAATTAAGATAATTTTGAAGTTTTTTAGCAAGAAGGAAAATTATTTTAGTGTAGATTTCGCAGATACACTTCAAGGGAAACCTAGTAGAACTCTTTTGACTGCACACACTTCAGATACCTAGAATTCAAAGAGATTACCTAGGGAGGCATCGCTGGAAACATGTCACAAGGCATTGGCAAAGACAGAGAGGAGAGGATAACGCCAAGGTTTGTGGGGTCTTCTTTGAGCCCTGCGTGTCTCCAGGCTCTTATTCCCAAACCGTAGTGCTGTTGGGTTCTGCAAAATCTAATGTGCAGCCTATGCTGTGAATTGGGGTGACAGATCTATTTTTAACTGATAAAAGCCATCTCAACGATTGATATATGAAAAGGTCTCAGGCACTTGGTGTGGGTGAAGTTGAGGCCACCTTTTGGTGAGGGATTCATCTGCCTCTTTCACAAAGCCGCCTAATGGGCCGTTAAGCAGAGAGAGGGAACATTTGCCATTTCTGACATCGATGACAGCTATTTTTAGCCAGAGGGCAGGTGAGCATCTGCCACAGCTGAATTTGGTCCTAAGTGTAATTGGGAATGCTGGCAAGAGGGGAAGCATAGGAAGTGTCGATTTTAATTTTCAGAGGTCAGATATTGATGACATTAGGTGGGAAGTAGGCTCATAAACTCCCTTTGAAATAAAGCAGAAATGATGGAATATGAGCAAACTCCTGATCAAACACTGGAAATGAAAAAAAAAAAATCACAATCTGATTTCTTTATTCGGTTTGAGAGTCCTGTACTCTTTAACACTTTAAGTGGGATCAAATTAATTCATTTTGTCCTAGATTGGTTATTTATTTATTTATTTATTTTGAGGTGGAGCCTTATTCTATTGCCCAGGCTGGAGTGCAGCGACACAGTTTTGGCTCACTGCAACCTCTGCCTCCCGGGTTCAAGCCATTCTCCTGCCTCAGCCTCCTGAGTAGCTGGGACTATAGGCACGTGCCAACATGCCCAGCTAATTTTTGTATTTTTAGTAGATACAGGGTTTCACCATGTAGTCCAGGCTTTTGTCTCGAATTTTTAACCTCAGATGATCCACCTGCCTTGGCCTCCCAAAGTACTGGGATTACAGGCATGAGCCACTGTGCCCAGCCTGGTTATCATTTTGTAATTTGACCATAATATCTTGTATCCTGTATATTTTCCTGCTAGATAATTTTTGCCAAAGGAAAAAATGTGATTTTTTTTTCCTGAAACACTTTCTGACAAATATTTGAACTTTGGTTAAACTTGAATTATATACTTTTCTTTGTTTCTTCTTTTTATTTTTATTTTTTTTGAGACAGAGTCTTGCTCTGTTGCCCAGGCTGGTAGGAGTTGAGATTATAGGCATGTGCCACCATGCCTGGCTAATTTTTGTATTTTCAGTAGAGACCAGATTTTGCCATGTTGGCCAAGCTAGTCTTGAACTCCTGGCCTCAAGTGATCCATGTGCCTCTGCCTTTCAAAGTGGTGGGATTACAGGTGTCAGCCACTGTGCCTTGCCTGAGTTACATACTTTTCATCAAGAATTTGCATGTGGCCTCATCATCAACGATTGATATGGAAATAAAATTTTCATGTAGGAAAAGGCACAATTAGGTTTAAAACTACATTGTGGGTTTTGAAAAGTTAAGCCTACCGAAGAGAGGCTTAACTGCTGGGGTGTGCACTCATATACCTTATAGTTAGGTGACAGCTGGTAAAGGGATAGAAGATTCTGGAGGCCACTAGGCTTACAAATCTAATTGTAAAGAGAGAATAAATTCTGTAGGGAGTGAAGGCCAGAGGATGAAGCCTCTGTGTGTGTGTGTGTGTGTGTGTGTGTGTCTGTGTGTGTGTGTGTGTCTGTGTGTGTGTGTGTGTGTGTGGTGGGGGAGAGGGGTGAACTTTGTAGATGAGGTTCAAATGCTGAGTTGTGTGGGTGAACTGGTGACCAGATTCTCACTCTGGCTTGGTAGGTGATTGCTGGTGGGTACTGTGGGTGCCTGTTTCTCCTGCTCACCCTGGGAAAAGGCAGAATTCCTTCTGGAGTTGACATCCATATCATCAGTCCACCCAGACCTGGTGCAGCCTCTCTGCCTTCCGACCCACCCACTGTGTGCCTTGAGGTCCCAGCGGCCCTGGGGGGCTGCAGTGCTGAGTGAGGTAGAACAGCATTTGTCCTGCCTCTGCGGGCTCCAAGGGTGAGCTGCATGCCTGACCCAGATCGCTTGGCTGCCTCTAGGACAAAGCGGGACAGGCAAGTGTCCCTGGCCAGTGAGGAGGGGACAGGCAGCTGCAGGAGATGAGCTGGGCTGGTGCTGCTCCCTGGCAGGCTGTCTGATTTATGTTTTAAATGTGACAGAATCTGATTGACACAGTCAGGGGAACCAGTGACATTTTAAATGGAGCTGCTTCACCCTCTCACTAGAATATGTCCCTATAGGCTTTTCATATCCCCCAGTTCAGTCTATGGAGGCATCACTTGTTTGGAGAGTTCAGTGTCCTCGCACAACCCCCAGAAGCCTCTGAGGTCATCCCCAACAGCTCTGCCCTTGTTCTCCCTGCTGCTGGCTCCCCTCTGGCATTGCCTTTTCAGCACAGATGGGGTCCAGGCTTTGCCCAGCCACAGCAAGGGGAGGTAGGTGATCGGGAGTTGGGGGTGGGGGCCTTCGACAGTACCTGAGCAGCCAGGGTGGGCTCTGGCAGAGGAAGGAGGCTGAGAAAGCAGGGGATGGGAAGATGTCACTGAGAGGTGAGTGTGTTCATCCCAGGAAGGAACACGGATGGTATGAGCTGGGCGTTGGCTGCCCCAGGCAAGGACCCCACGGAGGCTGGCAGAGGGCACAGTGGCAGAGCCTGCCTGAGGTTGCAGGGCAGACACCCACTGAGGGAAGGTATTAGAAGGGGGTCTTCTTTGCCTCCTGATCTGCTGATTTGCTGGGCAGGGCCTCCGTGGGCAGTTGTTACTAACGTTCCCTCAGGGTCAGAGCCCTGAGACGCAGAGTCACTGTGATGTGAGCTCAGATGTTATCATTCTGCTTAGAGTTTTTGGGATGGAGGATTTTGCTTCCAGTGGATTGCCCCTGGCAGTGATAGTTGAGGAGCTGGGCTCTACTTTCCTGCAGTCAGATGCTCTCGATTATCTTTCAAGATGCTGAGAGCCAAGAAACCCAGAGGTGTTGTTTTGAAGCTTTCTTCTTTCAAGACTGAGGTT